CAAAAAAAAAAAAAAAAAAAAAAAAAAAATTTCATAGATATCACCAAATTGAACTCTAAATATTGTATGAAATTACAATCTAATTATTAATAGGTAGGAGTGGTTGCTTCTAATAATTTCACCAACAATAAAGATTACCTAATTCTTTTTTTTTTTTTTTTTTTGAGACAGGGTCTCACTCTGGAGTATAGTGATGTGATCCTAGATCCCAGCTCACTGCAGCCTCAATCTCCCAGGTTCAAGAGATCCTCCCACCTCAGCCTCCCAAGTAGCTGGGACTATAGGCATGCACACCACTAAGCCCAGCTAATTTTTTTTTTGGTAGGGACAGTATTTTGCCATGTTGCCTAGGCTGGTTTCAAACTCCTGGGCTCAAGTGATTCACCTGCTTCAACCTCCCAAAGTACTGGGATTACAGGCATGAGCCACAGCACCTGGCCTACCTAATTTTTTTTTTTATCATTGGTTATCTGTTATGTAAAAAATGGATATCATCGCCGGGCGCGGTGGCTCAAGCTTGTAATCCCAGCACTTTGGGAGGCCGAGGCAGGTGGATCACGAGGTCAAGAGATCGAGACCATCCTGGTCAACATGGTGAAACCCCGTCTCTACTAAAAATACAAAAAATTAGCTGGGCATGGTGGCGCGTGCCTGTAATCCCAGCTACTCAGGAGGCTGAGGCAGGAGAATTGCCTGAACCCAGGAGGCGGAGGTTGCGGTGAGCCGAGATCGCGCCATTGCACTCCAGCCTGGGTAACAAGAGCGAAACTCCGTCTCAAAAAAAAAAAAAAAAAAATGGATATCATCACTTTCATTCCTATTTAATTATGAATGAGGTTAAGCATATTTTTGTGCATTTATTAGCCATTCTATTTATCTGTCAGTGAACTGACTGCTCATGGTCTTTGCTCCTCCCCCACTTTTTTTTTGAGACTGAAGTCTCGCTCTGTCATCCAGGCTGGAGTGCAGTAGTGCAATCTCAACTCACTGCAACCTCCGCCACCCAGGTTCAAGCAGTTCTCCTGTCTCAACTTCCCTAGAAGCTGGGACTATGGGCGCATGCCACCAAGCCCAGCTAAATTTGTTTTTGTGTTTTTAGTAGAGAGGGGTTTCACCATATTGGTCAGGCTGGTCTTGAACTCCTGACTTCAAGTGATCCATCTGCCTTGGCCTTTTACAGACGTGGGCCACTGCACCCAGCCTTCTTTGCCCATTCTTTAATGGTATATTCATCTTTTTCATTTTATTTATACCAGCTCTTTGCAATGGAAGAAATTAGCCCTTTGTACATATGTTGCAAATATTTTTTATAGTTTACCATTTGCATCTTGACTTTATGGTATCTTTGTAATGAAGACAATTTTAGTTTTAGTATACTCAAAGGTGTCAATCTGAAATGACACCATAGAGGTGCTTCGGTAGCATGTTTAAGGTCAGGTAGGATCTGATGCTCCATGCCTGATTCTCATTAAGGACTCCACTGGTGAGAAATGTAGACACACCTCATCAATTGCTCAATTGGTTACCTACTGGTACACACAGGCGCGTATACACACACACACACACACACACACTTGAAAATATATATGAATTCCTAAGAAAGGTATAATCCAAATCCTTACAGAGAAAGAGAAACATTTTCCGAACTTAAACATATTCTGCACAGTTGCCCTGAGCCACACCTGAGACAGCAGATTATACAGAGTGGTGTTATTTTTCCCTTTGTCCTTCCCTGTACTTTCAAACCATGCTCAGATAGTCCAGTGGTCAGACACCAGTACATAAGACAGGAAGTCCAAGAGCCTTCTACTCTTCAGTAGCTACTTCTGTTAGTGACACAGAGGCCTCAGAAAAGCTTCAAGAACAATATTTTCCTTTTGTTTTGGGTCAAATGAAATCCATGGGTGTGCTCCTCCTCTATAAGCTCTGTATGTATACAGAGGCAAAGCAAGATGAGGATCTGTTGTTCTCCAGTGTGAGTAAAGCTTCATAAAGAAGAGATTACATATTAACCCAAGACATGTAAATGCTGCAAAAAGAAGCCAAATCCAGGCACATAGCGCCTTTGCAGAAAGTGCCTGATATTTATTATTTACTGATTTAATCTAGAGTGAACATAATACTTAGATTTTTTTTTTTTTTTTTTTTTTTTGAGTCTCATAGCTCTGCGGACCTAATTTTCCACTGCATCCTACTAGTTTGGGCAAAAGCAGAGATCACACCAGACTTATCATGGCCAAAACCTATCCCTGAAACATCCTGGTTAACCTCCTTCTCCTTGATGTCCTCCTAACCTCCATTTCCAATTACCTCCACCTTAAGAAGAGAACTCTGGTAGGCAAAGAACCTCCAAAGGAATATCTGTCACACATGACTGAGTAGTAGCTTAGAGGATACCAGTTGACAGGAAAGAATGAAAAACCTTATGATAATGCAAAAGCATTATAGAAATGCACAATGTCATCTGCCAAAAAGAAACGGATATTTTGCTTACTTTTTTCTTTGAAAATGTTCAGATTTAAAACCACTCTCATACTGTTCCCCACCTTCACAAAATGATGCTCAAGAGTGCCCGGAGAGTCCTCATATTTTGTTGATGTTCTTATGTCCCATGCTTTATAGGTGCTTACAACAGAATGCTGCCCTACATCCTCATGGGTAGTCTGACTGTCCTGATTGGAATCATTACCCTTCTTTTCCCTGAAAGTTTGGGAACGACTCTTCCAGAAACCTTAGAGCAGATGCAAAAAGTAAAATGGTAAGTAGAACTTAACAAAATGATACCAAAATGCGTTAAGGAGACTAAGCATGGAAGAATAGCTAGGAAGGTTCTGAAAGAGAAGAGTAATAAGTAGAGACTAGCTCTATCAGATAATAAAGCATATTAGTGGCCAGGCATGGTGGCTCACACTTGTAATCCCAACACTTCGGGAGACTGAGGCAGGTGAATCACCTGAGGTCAGGAGTTTGAGACCAACCTGGCCAACATAGTGAAACCCCATCTCTACTAAAAATACAAAAAATTAGCTGGGCATGATGGCAGGCACATGTAATCCCAGCTACTCAGGTGGCTGAGGCAGGAGAATCACTTAAACCCAGGAGGCAGGGGTTGCAGTGAGCCAAGATCGCACCACTGCACTCCAGCCTGGGCAACAAGAGTGAAAATTATCTCAAAAAATAATAATAATAAATAAAGCATACTGTTGAGCAACAGTAATTAAAACAGTGTAATAATGGTATAGGAATAGAAACCAATGGAAAAGGATAGAGTTCAGGATAAAACCCAAGAAAATATAAAAATTCGGTATGTAATCAAAAGTAGCAAAGTCAAGGGGGAAAAGTTAATTAAGTAAAAGGCATTAGAATATTCAACTAGACATTTTGAATAAATAAAAAAACTGGATCTTAAAAAAAAAATGTATTGGCTGGGCACAGTGGTTCACGCCTATAATCCTAGCACTTAGGGAGGCTAAGGCAGGCAAATTGCTTGAGGTCAGGAGTTCAAGCCCAGCCTGGCCAACATGGTGAAATCTTGTCTCTACTAAAAATACAAAAATTGGCCAAGTGTGGTGACACACCCCTGTAATCGATCAAGAGATCGAGACCATCCTGGTCAACATGGTGAAACCCCGTCTCTACTAAAAATACAAAAAATTAGCTGGGCATGGTGGCGCGTGCCTGTAGTCCCAGCTACTCGGGAGGCTGAGGCAGGAGAATTGCCTGAACCCAGGAGACGGAGGTTGCGGTGAGCCGAGATCGCGCCATTGCACTCTAGCCTGGGTAACAAGAGCGAAACTCCGTCTCAAAAAAAAAAAAAAAAAGAAAAGAAAAAGAAGAAAAATGCATCAAGATAAAATCCAGACAGTTAAAAAATTTAGGCCTAAAAATGTAAAATCATAAATGTACCAGGAGAAAACAAATATGTGTATAAACTTAGAGAAGATCTTTCTGAGCATAACATAAAATTAAAGAGCCATAAAGGAAAAGATTGATATATCTGATCGTACATTTTTTTAAATTATTGGCAAGGCAAAAGAAACCACCCACAAAGACAAAAGTCAATAAGCCAGGAGAAAATATTTGTTACACAAAATCTAGACATAAGGCTAATATACCTAATATACAAAAAGCTCATAGTAATCAGTGAGAAAAAGACAAACAATTCAGTAGGAAAACTAGCAAAGGACAAGAACAGACAGTTTGCAGAACAGTGTCCAATATACACATTAAAAAAAGAATTTGTCCACACTAATAAGGAAATACAAAAATAAAACAATTCAAAATCTTTTTTTTGGCCTATGAGATTGTGCAAGGGTTTTTCTTCTTGACACAAACCAATTCTGACACCTATTGAGTGTCCTACAATTCAGTTCAATTTTGACAATACCTGAAGTTAGCATCAGACTCCGTAGGTATAAAGACAGTCCCACTGCCTCACTTCAGTCACCACTCATAAATGTCAAGTCCCCAGTTACCCACATTTCTCTCTGACTTTGCTGCAAAGTCTGGGCTTCCAATTCCCCTCCTCCGGTTTGATAATTTGCTAGAATGATTCATAGCACTCAGGAGAACACTGACCATTCGTGGTTTCTTATAAAGGATACGAATGAGCAGCCAGATGAAGAGGTATGTAGGGAGAGGTCTGGAAATGTCCTGAGTGCAGAGCTTCTGTCCCTGTGGAGTTAAGGTGCACTGCCCTCCTGGCACATGGATGTGGTCACCAACATGGAAGCTCTCCAAACCCCATCATTTAGAGATTTTCATGGAGGTTTAGTCACCTTGGCATCAGGATTATTGAGTCTATCCCCAGTCCCTCTCCTCTCCCCAGAGGTTAGGAGGAGGGTAGAGCTGAAAGTTCCAGGTTTCTAATCAAGGCTTAGTCTTCTGGTAACCAGCCCCCACCCTGAAGCTCTCTAAGGGCCCTGGCAAGGGCTGCCTCATTAGAACAAAAGAAGCTCTTATCACCTGCTATCACTCTGGAAATTATAAGAGATTCCAGAGACAAAGACCAGTATCTTTTTTGTGACACTACAGCAAACATTTAAAAGATTAGTGGTATTGTAGGAGAAGTTTAGAGTTTTGAGTAACACTGCCTAGCTTTAAATCCCAAATCTACTGCAAAAATCTAGGCATATCCCTTAATATTCACTAAGCCTCAGTATTCCCCTCTGTTATATGGAGATATTTCATATGGCTATTTTGAGGTTATAAAAGATAAAGTGTTCTCAGTGCTGGGCCTTGATAAACATAAGCCTGCATGTGAATTAATTCTGATCCCTGACAGAACATTTACAGCCCAAAGTGCCCATTTTTGATAAGTTGTTTTCTTCTAATGATAGAACTATTTCAGTATCAACTTTAATTGCCAAGAATTTCATGCCTCCCTCTATCCTTTGCTTGGGAAAACTGTGAAAGAGTTTAAATTTTGGCTTTTATGCTTAATTAAGAAAGTGGCTTCAGATGTTTAAAAGCATAAAATACTATATCTACACTATGAGGGTCTCATTTGAGTTCAAATAATTGTTCATTAATTGGAGAAATATTTTTCAATATCAGTTTGCAGCATTTTGTGGAGGAAAGTCTTGAATATTTAATTTTCTTTAGCATCTATTTTATTTTCAGGTTCAGATCTGGGAAAAAAACGAGAGACTCAACGGAGATAGAAGAAAATCCCAAGGTTCTCATAACTGCATTCTGATAAAATATCTACCCCATTTGGTAAATTAAAAACAGATAAGTAAGACCCTGTGGAGAAATCCGTCATTCCCACTGAAGTGGACTGCCTGTTAACAATTGACATGAAAATGGACCTTGCTATCAAGAAGTGCTCCTCATATAATAAACTCTGGATGATTCTTCAGATAATGTCCTTGCTTTACAAACCAACCATTTCTAGAGAGCCTCCTTACTCATTAATCTGATGAAATGGATTGGTAAGCTATCTTGAAAACATGTTAGTCAAGGACTAGTAAAATACATATAAAGATTAACACTTGTTTCCAATCATACAAACACTATCCAAATAAAAATGTCATTGTATTAACACAAATATTAGACAACAATGTGTGTGTGTTTGTGTGTACATGTGGAAGTGAACCAGCACATTTAAAACAAACCATTTTTATCCTCTACTGTCACACTCAAGCCAGAATACTTCTGTTATGAGATGTGTTAGGGGGCAGGGGGAGGGTTCCTCACACACCAAGCAATTCTCCAGCAGATACCAACGGGGTGTTCTATAATGGAATTCAGCTCTGACCCTATCTGTGGGGAGATAGTGTCAGATCCCACATGTTGTGTGCTCCATCCCTCTTCAGATGCCATTCGAGCGTCCAAGCCATATGCACTTCTGACCTACCAGCTACAAACCAGGGTTTCCACAGCCCCCTTCTTGGGTTCAATTAATTTGCTAGAAAGGCTCATCAAACTCAGCCAAACCTTTACATTTGTCATTTTATTATAAAGAATACAGATGAACAGCCAGATGAAGCAGCATGTAGGGCCAGGTCTGGAAGGATCCCAAGCACAAGAGCTTCTGTCCCAGTGAAACTGGCGGGAGGGGTGCAGTGCCCTCCCAGCTTGTGGATGCATTTACTGGAAGCTCCTCAAATCTTGTTGTTCAATAGTTTTTAGAGAGCTTGATCTCCAGCACCTTCCTCCACCCAGAGGTCAGTGGATAGAGCTGGAAGTTCCAAACCTCTAATCCTCAAATGCCCTGGTCTTTCTGGTGACTAGCCCCATCATAAGAATATATGTAGGGCCCCACATTAAGTAACCTCATTAGCATAAACTCAGGAGTTATCGAAAGGGCTCATTATGACTAATGAGATACTCCTACCACTCAGGAAATTCTAGAGGTTTGGGGAACTCTATGACAAGAAATGAGACAAAGACCAAGTATACATATTTCATATTATACCACAATGGCAGATATTACCTGTATTTTAGCCTGGCTCATCTGGCCTATCTGCCTGCAAGAAGGCAGCAAGGCAGCTCCTAGCTATAGTTTCAGCAGCTACACCTCACAACCCCTACACCATTAAATGGTCCCCATTTATTGTGCTTTTGTTGAGCACATAACTAAACCTCCTGTTTCCTAAAACTGGCTTAAGATATATTTTGCTGGTGAATACAAAATCAGAAAAACTGCACAAACAGATTGGTAGAGATAAGTTACGTGCCACATAGCCAAGAGGGGTGCACACCGAGGAAAAAATTGTCAAAGCTGACAATCTGGAAAGCCTTCAAAACCGTTCTTTTCGCCAGGCGTGGTGGCTCACGCCTGTAATCCCAGCACTTTGGGAGGCTGAGGCGGGTGGATCACAAGGTCAAGAGATCGAGACCATCCTGGTCAACATGGTGAAACCCCGTCTCTACTAAAAATACAAAAAATTAGCTGGGCATGGTGGCACGTGCCTGTAATCCCAGCTACTCAGGAGGCTGAGGCAGGAGAATTGCCTGAACCCAGGAGGCAGAGGTTGCGGTGAGCCGAGATCGCGCCATTGCACTCTAGCCTGGGTAACAAGAGCGAAACTCTGTCTCAAAAAAAAAAAAAAAAAAAAAAAAAAAAAAAAAAACCGTTCTTTTCCTAAGCATAGTATTCAGCCATGTCCTCTTTAACCCATATGTATCAGGTCACCAGTATTGGAACCTCAATGCCACAAATAAGCAGCATGAAAGATAAAGCCATTAATGCAGGGGTATCCAATCTTTTGGCTTGCCTGGGTCACACTGGAAGAAGAATTGTTGTAGGCCACACATAGAATATACTAACAATACAATAGCTGATGAGCTAAGAAAAAGAAAATCACAGAAAAAAATCTCAATTTTTTTAAAAGTTTACAAAATTGTGTTGAGCTGCATGTAAAGCCGTCCCGGGCTGCAGGCGGGACAAGTTTGCACTAATAGGTTAGCATATTACATCAGAAAATAAATGTCAGCTATGTGTCTCACTGTGTATTAGGCATGCTGAGATGATAACATAACAAGAAGTTGCTCCTGGAGACTTGGGGCAGCATGCTTTCATTGAAAGTGGCTTCTCTTTCAATTAAAGTGACAAGCTACTCACCCTTTAACATATCCCACACTGCCACACCTGTGTACAAATAGGGAGCCACCAGTTTTTGATATGCTGCTTGGTGGTATCACCTTCTAAAAATAATTATTCTCAAATGCAAATTCATATGATGTTATATTCCAAAGGACCTGTTTACATAACATCCTGAATAACTGTCATTATTTCAAGATTCTTATCTTGAACTTTTCTGATTAACTCATAAGTTACCTAGAAATAATTTTAATGTGCAACATATAAAACCTAAGTGAATAAATTATTTCATTGTATTGAGATTTGACTGGAGATTTACCATGTTCCTGAATGAGAAGAATGGATGTTGTGAACTTGCCATTCTGACCAAATTAACTGATAGTCCTAATATAATTAAAATTAATATTTTAAGAAATTAAAAAATAGTTATAAACAGCATCTGAAAGAACAAATATGTAGGCAGTATGTTTAAGAAACTTTGCCGGGCGCGGTGGCTCAAGCCTGTAATCCCAGCACTTTGGGAGGCCGAGGCGGGTGGATCACGAGGTCAAGAGATCGAGACCATCCCGGTCAACATGGTGAAACCCCGTCTCTACTAAAAATACAAAAAATTAGTTGGGCATGGTGGCACGTGCCTGTAATCCCAGCTACTGAGGAGGCTGAGGCAGGAGAATTGCCTGAACCCAGGAGGCGGAGGTTGCGGTGAGCCGAGATCGCGCCATTGCACTCCAGCCTGGGTAACATGAGTGAAACTCCGTCTCAAAAAAAAAAAAAAAAAAAAATCTTTTGGCCGGGTGCAGTGGCTCACCCCTGTAATTCCAGCACTTTGGGAGGCCAAGGGGGGCAGATCACGAGGTCAGGAGATTGAGACCATCTTGGCCAACATGGTGAAACCCCGTCTCTACTAAAAATACAAAAATTAGCCAGGAGTTGGCACACGCCTATAGTTCCAGCTACTCGGGAGGCTAAGGCAGAAGAATCACTTGAACCCAGGAGGCACAGGTTGCAGTGAGCCAAGACTGTGCCACTGCGCTCCAGCCTGGCGACAGAGCAAGACTCCAACTCAAAAAAAAAAAAATTGTGACATGATAAAGGGGAATTATAAATTATCAAGAAAACAACACATTGTTGAAGACTGGTGCTGGGACAATTGATAAGCTGAATAAATGGAAAAACTGGAGGAAAAAATAGCATCCCACCATAATTCACATACCAGATTAATTCCTGATCAACTAAAGTCTCAAATGTAATAAATGTAAATAAAATACAGCCAAGAGTAAATAAATCAAAAGCTAGAAGAAAATATAGGTGAAATTTAATTTTAAGGTGAATAGGAAATTGAAGATACATAGATTTTACTATAAACTTTTAAAGTATTCTGTACAACAGAGTATCTTAAAATTAACACAAGATGGAAAAACATTATCAAAAACATATTGGACAAAATTACCTTCCTTTCCACATATGCATCAATTTTTTTAAATGCCCACTCATACTCCAGTTAAAGCAAATAGGGCTAAGTACATAGCCTTTGGAGACAAGTGTCCTGTACCTGATGCTGAGTCTGTCACTTTTCAATCAACTGTGTGACCTTGAGCAAGTTATAGTCTTCCCTAAAGTTAAGCTTTTCCATCCATAAAGAGGGATGATAACAGTTCCATTTGGGTGGGAATTACACGAGAGAATGCATGCTGTGTTTAGCTCCATACCTGGCAAAGATGTCCACATTTTCTCTATCTCTCACCTTACTCATGTCCTTACTCTCCTTCTGGACAGCTTAAATTCCCTGCTTAATCATCACAATCAACTTTCATGTCCCTTTCTTATCTGCCTTGCTTTTGGGGGAAACTATAAAGCTGGTTAAATCTAACGTCCCTCCTACTTCTCGTTGGCACCTGCATAGCCAAATGCAGCTGGAAAATATATTCCAGCTGACTGGTTTCACTTTAAACTGACCATCAGTGACTTCAAGAGGATCCTAATTGCCCTGGTTCGTTCTCTATCCTGGAGGACCTTCTTTCTCTTCAGAAATCCATCATTTCTTTTCCCATGTTCACCCTCAGCTGTGCCTTGGCTTCCTACTTCACTTAGAAAATAGAAGCGGTGGAGAGAACCTTTACAAGCACCATAATCCACCAGCCTAACTCCATCTGTACCCACACACTCTGTCTTTTCTCCTGTTCCTTGAGATGAACGGTCTCTCCTCCCCACTGGAGTGCAGTGGCATGATCGTGGCTCATTGCAACCTCTGCCTCCCAGGTTCAAGCGATTCTTGTGCCTCAGCCTCCCAAGTAGCTAGGATTAGAGGCACGCACCACCACACACAGCTAATTTTTGTATTTTTAGTACAGACAGGATTTTGCCATGTTGGTCAGGCGAGTACTGAACTCCTGGGCTCAAGTGACTGGCCGGCCTCAGCTTCCCAAAGTGCCGGGATTACAGGTGTGAGCCACCACCACGCTCAGCCCCAGCCTTATACCCACCCCACCCATACTCCCTTACCAACTCAAAGATGTTGCTCCATCAATTCTCCTGACTCCTCCATCATAAATCTTTTCCCTCTCTACTGGTTCTTTCCCATTCAGTAAGCAAACAGGCTGTAAAAGCTCTCTCTTGACTCAGTTTCTGTCTTCAGCTCCTGCCCCATTTCTCCCTGTCCCTTAACAGCCAAAGTCTTCGGAAGATTGCTATATCAACTTGTTACTTCCGACTTTTTTCTTCTAATTTTCACTTGGCCCCACTACAATTGAGCTTTAGCCCTCACCTTTCATCAGAGCATCTCTATCAAGGTCCCCAGTGACCTGCATGCTGCTGAGTTCAACAGTCAATTCATAGTCCTTCTCTTACCTGACCTCTTCAAGACATCTATCTGACAAACTCATTTCTCTTTTATCCTTGAACTGCTTTCTACAACATGACACTTGCGCCGGGCATGGTGGCATGTGCCTGTATTCCCAGCTAGTTGGGAGGCTGAGGCAGGAAAATCAGTTGAATCCAGAAGGCAGAGGTTGTAGA